ATTTTTCAAGGTCAAACTATGAATATATATATGTATATGCATTGTCATTTTTTCGTTGATTCGCCTGTTGATCGCGTATTGTCTGGATCATTAAAGTTGTTTCCGAGGTTTTCACCTTCTTACTATTCGCCGTGCTAGGAGTCTGGATCAAGCAACATAGCTGGGGATAGAATATTGTCACAGTCCGCACATCTTATTGTTTGCTCACTGCGTGGTCGAACCCTAACAGATTACGCAGAGAACGTGTGTTTATATCAACAGATTAGGGTGTGAAGGCAATTCACGTTGTTTCCAGACGAAGCTCCGTGGTAATGTTGAGCGCCTGGTTTGATTACAGGCGATCATCAGAAAACCCAGTTTGATATTGTTGGCATCGCCTAGTCATGCAGTAGGGAAAATAACGAGAATATCGACGTAAAAAGCATACAACTCACTTGCATGAAGACCTTGCCGATGAGCATGTCATCAGGATCCTTAAACATGGTGCTGAAGATGACAGTGACGCGATCGTGTAACGCCTGCACATACCTGCCCGAACGCAAGAAAAACAAAGGTATGGGAAACAAAGCTGGGATAAGACAGAAGTAGGAGATAACAACGAACAACACCTGGTAAACCAGTGGCAACAAACACAGTGAACCTCAACAGAGGGCCACTATTGATAAAGGGTCCATGGTGCATGAATTCGGGTGCGATCCCGAAAAAACAGGCTACCATGACAGCGAACACTTCCTTCTTCCCCAAAGTGATCCCAGTTTTAGTGCGGGGTGGGGCGTAGACACCGTAGCCAATGGCCCCTCAGTGTATATTTGTCCGAATAACCAAAAGAAATCAAGGTATTGATTCTTGACACGACAAAGTTAACTGAACGAGTCTTCGAAAAAATCAAGCACGGATGTTCGCTGTATCCACACCGCATCGTATTCGCTTCACAATGATGAAAAATCTGCCATACAGCAGAAAAAAATCGTTCAGCTGTATCAACCTTCCATGCCACCCGAAGACTGCACGGGGGCTGGGATACTGCCAAGTTGCCCAAGCCTTGACAGGAAAAGTCGAGAGGCAGAGGTCGGGTTCGAACCACGGACCTTCCGGTCAGTAAATTTGCGCTCTAGCCCTCTCGCCTTCCATACAGCAGAACCACTTCCGGAAATCTGATGGCCCATACAGGTGCTAGAGGCGAATTTTCGAGAGCCTTCCTTCGAATGCAGTGCAAGCACGACTACGGGGGGGTGACGCAGCTAAGTGAGTTGCATTAGTTCGTCTCACCATATGAAAGTCGACCACGGACGTAAGGTTATTCGAATGTTACAGGCCAACTAGTGATAAGTTTGAAATCCAGATCACTTGAGCTTAAACAATACCAAACAAGAGGTGCACAGGGAAGCAAAACTCCCATTTGCATCTTATTTACAAAAACTGGACGTCCATCTTCTCCTGAACGTGCCTTCTTGAACTTTCCTGGATATTCATAGACTCCAATCATTCGTTGCTCAAATCCAAGCAAATGTTAAGAAGCGACTCCACAAACTCCGCAACAGATCTCCCCTTTTCAAGAGACGCAAAGCAAAATTCCAAGAACAACACGTACTACTCACATGCCTCCCCACCAGTAGTATCACCGTTACATTGGTAATGCTATCTGGAGGACGAGCATAGACCACAGAACTACAGGGTCATGTGATCAGCGCAGTGCACATTGTAACGAAAAATAACTGTTAATAATACCATAAACTAGTAGAAGATTCCTAGAAATAAACTGCGTGTATTTGGACCGACTTATTCTTCGTGGAGAGGAACTACCACGAGAAAATGCAACAAGTGCCTTTAACTCAAGTTAAAGCGTGAGCAGACTTCACGCGCCATATACATGAAACCAAGTCGCACGTAGTCCGTAGGTTGTTGGCACAATGCTTCCTGAAAACGTTGTCACCTAGAAGTTTATGTCGAGTGAATTAGCAAAATGTACGCGAATCTACAGCAACTCGATCAACATGTTACCCTTCAGCAGAGCCATGTTTCTACCTCGAAACACGATTCACGAACCCCATCCACTTTGGCGAAGGTATTTGGATGCCTTTCAGTGTTCGTTGCCTGAGCTGCCCCAACCCTGTGGTCTAAACTCGGTGTTCGTAACAATGGTTGCTGGATCGCCTGAAAAATTGGCCGGTGATGACGAATAAAAATACGCATTGCCTTATCTTGTTTACTACAATTTCTCAAATGGTCTTGAGGGTAGGACAACACAAGAGTAATTCGACCCAATCAAAGCGAAAAGGGCCCAGCCAGAGAGCGCTTCAAAAGTGACGTGATGATACTTTGGCCGCATATTTTACCGCTTAGCCTAACAAATACTCTCAGCTACGATTAATAATTCATTTGGGACCGGCAGTCATCTTCTTACTATGCAAAAAACCTGGTAAAGGATAAACTACAACCACTCGACGTATGTCCAGAACTTATATCCTACACAATATCTGGAGCTGACTGAAAAGATACCAAAATTGAAAGCACAAACAGACGAAACATGCTATGTATACTCACAGTGTTTCGTCCGAGCGGTAATGAATAACAGCACGAATACCAGGGGTTGTGGGGCCTGCGTTTGCATGGAGATCGAAAAATTTTGTAAATAAGGAAGCCATGCAGTTGCGCTTCAGCAACGCACACTTCCGGGCCAGTGCAGCGTGATTTTCGGGCAATTTATCCAAATCGATGGCCAGGGTAACGCTTTGGCCGGTTTCGGGTGTTTGAAGGAGCAGATCACCATATTCCTTGCGTAAGTACTGGACACAGAGCAGTGAATAAAAATGAGTACCGTTTCACAAACGGCAGAACAGTCAAGATAAAAGACCTGAACGCTAATCGGTGGGATGAGTGAAAAAGCTACAGGGACATTCAAAAGAGGTAAAGTAATCGGGATCTGAGCATCGTGCAGCAAAGTTCACCCGAAAAGTTTGAATTTGTAGCTTTTTTGAGGTAATGCAAACTCCACTCTCATAAAACTCTCTGAAAATAGTGTGCAAAGCTTTACACAAACACCCGACAAATGTTTAACAACACATCCTACCTACAGCTGTCAACTTGTCGTGGTGGTTGGTAGTACTGCAATGATACCGTAGGCTGTACTGACTGGAGCACAGTTCCCTAAGATTCAACAATGCTAGGAAGGCTAGCGAAGAACAGCGAGTCCCCGTACTACGAGAAATCGTACTAGGAAACGGTCTGGAGGCGAGGGCGTATAATCTTCTGATATAAAAGTGTGAAGGCAGTAAGTTGCTTTCTCCAAGCGATCAGTGGGCCTGTACTTACGGTGCCGCCTTCCCACTTCGGAGGAAGATGGCACAGCTCTTCATGGAGTCGCCTTAGCGAGATTAGGTTGACCGAATCAATCAAAATAAATGCATCTTGACATGGCAGACGGTGTTTGTTTGTCACCATACGTTCTGACGGGGAACACCTCTGAGGCTGAGAAAGACAGCTTGTATCGAGATTTGTCACGACTGGTTAGTTCAGAAAGAAGTCCAGATATCATGCTTCTGGCAGATGACATCAACAATTAGGTCCGCCAATCTACACCTGAGAAAGCAATCTTGACAGCCTATTTGAAGTTCACCGCTGAACATCGTTTGTTTCTAGCCACAACAAGTGCGCACACCGTGTGACCTGGATGCCATCAGTTGCGAAGTAGTCGTGGATTCGGTCGGACCATCTGGTAGTCAACAACCGCTGGAAAGCTTCGATACAATGTTCTAGTGCACCTCGAGATACACCACTTGACTCTCACCACTGCATCGTTTTCACCGTTCTCCGACTAGCCACCACAACCTATGCAATGTGGTTAATTAATCTATCGTGGGCGTTATTTCTTCCAAATACCATTCACCGTATTTCAGAATCGCTGATCCGGTGCTCTGCAAGATTCGGACAATGAAAGTCTTTTGCCAACTTTGGAGCGCAGCGCTTAGGTTCCTGATCCATAGAGCAACATGGGTCGCACCTCAGCATTGTAAGCTCGATCTCTGACGGTTAAGCTGTAGCCACGCATACGCCACAGGTGACACAGGTTCCCAAAACGTGCTCCGGTCTTCCTAATCCGGATAGAAATATCATCCTTCGCGAGAACACCGGGAATGATACAGCTTCTCAGCTAGACGAACTCGTCTACTACCTCAAGCAAGCAATTCGCGCCCACCAAGTCTTGGAGTAGCACTTTACAAGAAGAGTGTCTCGAATGTAACCACCTGCGCTAAGAACTGTTTGTGGATTCCACCAAAGTTTTCGCCGCAGAAAACAACGCTTTGGTGCACGTTGTGAGGCGACTGCCTAAGATCCGCAGACTGCCAACAACCGTCTTCATCCTGTTCGGGACTCATCAGGTCTCTAGAATATGAGACAATTAATCTATGATTGCAAATTTGACTGAAAGTCCACTTTTGAGCCCTTATGATTATTGAAACTGCCGGATATATATATATATATATATATGT